AAGCATAACAGTACACATTTAAAACTACTGGCCATGGCAAAAATACACAACAAAGCAGAATTAGTCAGCGACACACACTTCCTAAAAAAAGGATTAGAGAATTAGAGTTCTGCCTGGCACCTAGCAAAAACTCAAAACATTCCTTGAGCAAAATGAGATGCCTTATACACCACACATATTCAGGCCAAGCAATGTGGGTACCAGAAATTGTATTCTCTCCAGCAGTACATTACCAAAACAGCATAAAGAGAGGCCAAAGAACATGTCACCAAGGAAAAGAAAAAAATAAAAATAAATAAATTGTTGACGTGTATGATTCACACATGAATAAAGGCTTGGAATTTTTGCTCAACCCCTCGAATGGACTCAAGTTGCTTCATGGATTCAGTCAGCCGACACACAGGTTTAAGGACTCTGCCGAATGAGGTGAACAGGCTTTCTGCATGCAACCTTTGAGGTGGAATCAAACAGGGAGGTGCAGGATAGGGTAAGGGAGCGGGAGAGTCTGCAACAGAGGCAGCAGCATCCGCAACAGGGGTGGCCACAGCAGAAGGAGGCAGTGGACTGTCCAGACCAAGAGACTCTGCAGTGGAGGACTGCTCACAAACCCATGAGGCGGTACGGCCATCATCCCAGTCGTCAACACTCAAGCGGGAGCCAGCAAGGGAGGGTCCAACCGTAGCAGTTGCAGTGTCCAACTCAGATATCTCAGTTTCACACCAAGCAGACAGAGGAGGGCATTGTTCACACCAGAGGCAGGCACAGATACAGAAGCAGCATCATCATCCAAAGCTCCTTGCAGGGACAAGAAGTTGACCTGGAGCAGCAGGTTACGGTGAACGACCTGTTCATGTCCATCCCCATCCCTGATCCGGTAGATATGTGAAATGGGTTTCGCGGCCACTACAGTGTCGACAGTGGGCTCCCATTTGTCAGAAAACTTCCATTTCTCTCTGATGCCCTTGTTCGCCAGCAGCACCTGGTCACCGACAGACAGAGGCTAACCTTTGAAACTTTTGTTGTACTGATCACACTGATGTCTCTGCTCAGCTGTGCAATTCTTCTGGGCCAGCGCCATGGCACAGCGCAGGTCTTCCAAAAGGGACTGCACATAGACATCATAGTCACACACATTCACATTGTGAACAGCATTCTTGAACAGGAGGTCAACTGGCAGCCTAGGGATCCTCCCGAACATCAAATAGAAAGGCGCAAACCCGGTGGTCTCATGAACAGTATAATTGTATACAAAGGTCATGGTCTGGATCATCTGCAGCCATTTCTGCTTGAGACAGAGGGGACGAGGCCTCAACATTTTTCCCAGGGTGCGGTTTAACCTCTCTGTACCACCTTTCCCCATAGGGTGGTAAGGCGAGGTGTGTGACTTGTCAACCCCTGACGGCTTCAAGAGCTCCGCAATCAACTCACTCTCAAAGTTTGCCCCCTGGTCGGAGTGCAGGTCCCACAGCTTTTTGGCTACCTGCTTGGCAGTCTGATCCTGACAGGGGATCCTGTAAGGCTCACACAGCAGCCGCTCCCTTAGAGATTTCACAAACGGGTCCTACTGAGAGCATCTGCCACAATATTCAACCTGCCAGGGATGTGTTTGATCTCAAAGGAGTACGGAGCCAGCTTGGAAACCCAACGCTGTTCACAGGCATCAAGCTTCGGTTTGGTCAGGATGTACGTGAGTGGATTGTTGTCTGACCACACAGTGAATCTGTGGCCCTTGAGCCAATGGCTGAACTTGTCACAAACTGCCCACTTGAGGGCCAGGAACTCCAGCCTGTGAGCAGGATAGTTAGCTTGACTGCGAGGGAGCGATTTGCTCACAAAAGTGATGGGTCTCGCTCTTTCCTCACCATCAGACACCTGTGAAAGGACAGCACCCAGAACACCAAGGGATGCATCAGTGGAAAGGATGAAAGGCCTATCAAAGTCCAGGTATGCCAGCACCACACTGTTGAGGAGGGCGCTTTTCAGTTCATCAAAAGCCTTCTCACAGGAAGGAGTCCAATCCTGCGGAGTCAGTTCCCGGAAGGTCCCTTCCTCCTCAGAAGGAGCAAAGACCAGTAGGTCATCCAGGTAGCAGAGAAGACTGGAGAAGTTCAAGTCATCAAGGACACTGATCATCATCTACATAAAGGATGCCGGACTGTTGCACAGGCACTGACCGCACTGCCACGGTTCTGCTTCAGCCCAGCGGTCCCTTGCCCCGGCTCGGTCTCGGTTCGGTTGTCTTCTGCCCTGGTTCTGCTTTGGTCCTGCTGTCCCTTGCCATGGTTCTGCTTTTGTCCTGCTGTCCCTCACTCCGGTTCTTCTTCAGTCCTGTTATCCCTTGCCCCGGTTCTGCTCCGGTCCTGCTTGCTGTGGTTCTGGCTCCTGCCCAGCCTCAGATTTTACCAGAACCCCATCCTGAAGGGCATCGGCTACCCCCTGGCCCACTCTTTGGATTGCCGCTGCCGCTCTCCGCCACCCACCCTCGCCATCAGGAGTGTGTTTCGCGGACTGCCGGTCACCGGGAGTCTGTATTTTATCTTTTTTTTCATTTTGACAACCGGCCTGTATGCAGGGGTCAGAAACAAGGAGACATCTGGTTGGATGTGTGTTGTTGTCCTTTGCTCTGTAGATAATAGTGGACTGTCTCTAATTTGAGGGACAATTCTGATGTGGCACCCATCAATGGCCCCAGCAGCACGGTGGAATGCCTAGTGACCAGCCAGGTAAGCAAAGCCGGCCCCGATTTCCTCCATCTCCTCCTGTCTGGGGAAATGAACCACCCTGTGGATGATGGTCATCATCTCATCCACTACCCTGTGGACGGTCCGGCAGACTGTTGCCCGCGGCACTGAAAATATGTCAGCCGTCACGCGATAGGAGGCTCCACAGGCAAGCCAGTGGACCATGATCAGCACCTCAAGCTCATGACTCCATCCATGGGCTTTTTCCCGGGGCAGCATCTGGACCAGCATATTGATGCTGTCCCTGGAAACCCTGAAGGCTGGTCTCAGATCACCTTCAGAGAAGAAGGTAACCAGGATAGGCACATCAGAGTTGATCTGTGTGTATATTTGGGACCTTTGGTCCTTGTTTAAAAAAAAAAGACAAGAAAGTCTTTTTAGAATTTTTGTAAACATTTTGATTGTTTATGGTAATTATTTGTGTTTTCAATATTGTATGTTCTGTTGTTTGTCAAAATAAAGTTTCTTTTAAGTCAAACTACCAATTAAATTATTGTGGCATTAATAGGAAACCACTGACCACCTGGTTTTATTCTTAGCTTAGCTCTAAGGAGATGAAGGGTGAATTAGAGCGGAGACTGAGAGCCAGACCTTCTCGTCCAACATCAGTGTGTGACCTCACAAATGCACTTCTGGAAGAATGGTCAAAGGGTGGACCAATGTCATATTAAACCCTATGGATTAGGAATGGGATGTCACTTAGGTTCATATGTGAGTCAAGGCAGGTGAACAAATACTTTTGCCAGTATAGTGTAATTTTTTACCTTTGACCAAGTAGGAGGTGCAACAAATTTTTTTAAAAATGGGTCATACTGGTGCTACCAGTGACAAAGTTAGTCTGGAGCCTTGAAGTGTTTTTTTTTTTTCATTTTCAATGTTGCGTGTTTTGAGTTTGTACAGGTCCTGTAAATATTGATGAAAGTTGGATGAATGGTTTTGAAATTTAGTCCTGTTAAGTCTTAATAGGCGCTATGTGATGACATATGTTGTAAACTGCCCTATACAAATAAAACTGAATTGAATTGAATAATGTTAAATTAGATTATGATTAGAAAATCCTCCAAAAAACATTTGCATTCCTGTAAATCGCTGTGCCTGATGTTACTCATATTCTGATTTCTGATCTAAAATAAAAGGCCATTTGCAGAGTGCACCCGCCCAATCAAAAAGTTTAACCAGCCGCCACTGGTCTTCACCTACAAATAGAAACAATAATGAGATTGTTTCTCTCAATTTCCTACACCCTAATCATTTTTAAATTGTTTGTAGTTTGTGTCTGATATTATTATCTCACCCTACTCATCGCTGAAAAATCCCTCTCACAGTTTTTTCAGCCCATGTAGGGTCCTAGCCTGCAGGTTCTTCTCTACTCTCATCTCTCTCTCCTGCTCCTCCACTTGGCTCTCCTTCACTTTGTTCCAATGCTCCTCCCTGTCTCATGTTACTTGTCTTATGCGATCACATAAAATATTAATGTTAGATCATTTACACTTATATCACGTCTGATTACAATTGTGAACACTATTTTTTACCTTTTTTGACCATCATCATTTATGAGTCAGTTAAAGGCTAATGATACCTGACAAGAGTCATCTTCATCAGGTGTCTTCCTCTTCGAGAAATATTTGAATAAGCTGTAGATAATAGCTTAATGCCATCAGTCAGTTTATTCACGGTAGCGACACTGAGTTGGAGCAGGGCCCAACTAACCTAAGCTATTGATATGTTACATAATATTAGCTGGCCATCCATATTTTGCAAACGTCTATTTAACTTGTAAAATCTATTATGACCTCTTAAGCTAATAAGTCCACATTTTCTCCGGTAAGTCACTGTCCTATTCTTAAACACGACCCTCCTCTGACTCTCTGACCTGGAGCCTGGTGCTGGACGTGACGTCACTTTCAAGGCCGTGCTCTCGCCAGAAATTGACGTTGCATTAAACCCCCAAAGAGTAGAGACTGAGCAAGATAATTATCTGTAGTTTACCTTCGCACTTGCGAGTACCCGACCCAGTGCAGGACTCTGGTGTGAAGTTGGAGACGTGGCGGTGGTGTATTTGTGAAAAGAGAAAAAAAAAAAAAGAAAGAAATTTGAAGGAACGGCAACTAGGATTTAGGAACAGTGGCCTGCCAGTCCTAAATGAATGTACAGGAAACAATCATAACAATCTAATACAGTTATCCACAGATATCAAAACTGATTAAAATCTCACCTTGAATTCTCATTGAAGGAGGAACAACTCATATTGACCGCATCTTCCCAAATATTTTTTTATTCAGACTCATTGTTTCAGCTTATGCTTTAGCCATTTTTTACAAAGTACTACTGGTGTTACTACAAGTTGTTTACTCAAATTCTCTAGTTTGCTTGCATCTGCTTCTCCATGAGATCATGTCAGGTGAAGAACACTTTTGCCCAATAGGCACATAAATGTTAATATTGTGTAGCATGTGATGTGCCATTATTTTCACATTTGTACGGTGTGCATGCGTGACATTACAGAAGAGAATATCTGTGAAGTTTCTCCTCATGAGCATGATGTAACTCAACTCAATATCTGTTGGGATTTTAAAACTATGGTGTGAGCCCAGCCTTAGCTTACACAACTCACATTCTTCATGACTGACAGAGCTGGTATCACAAACCTGTTTATGTAATGCAATTCCATTGTGATGCTTTGGACAATTTATAATGACAGTTTGTTTAATAGTGTCATTTATTTTCAAAACCCATCGTATGGTTCACCATGAATCGAATCACCTTAAGGTACAACATGGCAGACTGGGCTCGGCTTTCTGAACTGACAAGCACCAATACTACATATTACAAAAGTCAGATGAAACAACATCCAATGATTTATCTATTTGATAATCAAACTACATGAACGTACACATTAACTGAAAAACAACATCAAGCTAGTGCCTTGATTTTATTATTCAATACAAAAACATTACTGTCTTGGTATACTACACCCACCAACTGTAATGGTCAACCACCTCCTCATTCACCCATACCTTTTCTACAACAGCTCAAAGACAAGTTTCACACACAAAACCAGAATAAGCAGACAACTAGATGTATAAACTAAAAATGAAACACGTTCATTAGAAAACAATCCCAGGGTTTTTACAAAACTAATTAGCCAACATGTTCAATTTTTTCAACAGATAACACTGAAAGGAATGCTTATACTCTCTTAATGGCATCATCAATTTCTGAAATCTGGTCCTTCAGTTGGTTCCATTGTTCAGGATTCAGGGAGATACCTACAAGAAATGTGAAATAGAGCTTCAAGCTGTATCTTACACCACAACTGTGAACCAATTAAAAAAAACATCACAGCCACCTTTATAGGTTCTTGTGTACTTTTTCAGATACATACACATGCATGTATGTATGTATGTATGTATGTATGTATGTATTTATTTGATCCTAATAATCAAAACATACAGACACGTGACAAATTAAAGGGAATTCCTGAGTGAATTACATGAGTGGAGAAACACATCAAATACTTCCACACACATGTGGCCAACAGCACATGTTTGATGACCATAATTTTTGTATATTACTGGGATATAAAAGGTAAACTGAACATCAACTCTTCTTCAGGTGGTTGGGACTGGCAGTGCCTGACTGTTCCTGAATGTCAGCAGTCATACAGGGAAAGCTATTACAGTAGGGTTACAGTGCATACATTTATCGTTACAAAGATGTACATGTGAGAGCTCAGTGGTGCTATAACCCTGATCTACAGAGATTTAGGGAAACAGTGATTATCAGCAGGAGTCATCCTTCATCATATTCTAAAAGTGAGTGAGCACAAAGGCCTGTACTACAAAGCAAGTTTAACACAGTCAGGCTTTCTTTATGTAAATCAAAGTTGCAATCAGGGATAATGAGTATCACGAAGGCGGTTATCAACTTTCTTCGTTAACTCAGACTTTCTGCTTCAGACTCTGTTCACATAAAAGGAGGCATTTAACACGTCGTGTGACTCCTCTCTCGCACAAAATAAAACACAATGTGTAGCTACTTCAGTCAACAGGTTTTAATGGAGAACAATGAGGAATATCAACATTTATGAAGGTAAAAACTACTACTACTGCTGCAAACAGTGCAATACAGGAATGTTGGTAGAAAACTGTTAACATCTTAATATTACACTGATGCAGCTGACTATTTCCAACTGACAGCTACACATTGAAGTTAAACTTCAAACTTTTAATATTTTAAACATGATCATGTATTGAAGTGCATTTAGGTCTGACACTGTCCCATAATGCAGGAAATCACTTTAGTTTTGTGCCAAATCAAAGCGAATTTAAGATTTTAAAAAAAGCAAAAAAGAAAGGAGACACTCTTTTCAGCCGATTTAAATCCTAAACTATGAATATAACCTGCTCCAGACCAGGTTAGCTCCGCAGTATCAGTTACCATGGAGATCTAGATGCCTTTGTGACACGGAAAACTATGGCTTTAAACTCAACATACCTCACTAACCCACTAATCTTGCTTCATAGTACAGCCCTCTGGTGTAAAGGATCACTGCAAATCAATACAGATTTTTTGTAAGTTGTCACCTTCATCTCTTGATGAAACAATTCTATCCTAATGAGTGTGATGTCTTCCAGGATGACAATGCCCTCATCAACAGGGCACAAAGGGTCAATGAATTGTTTGCGGACTATGCAAATGATTTGAATAATATGCTACAGCCTTTAATTTCACCAGGTCTAAGACCAGATCAACACCTCAGGGAGACTCTGGACCAATATTACACATCACTCTTAAACACTAACATCAAAATACCAAAAGAGGGAAAATCTTTTGGAAAGATGCTGTTCAGCCCTGCTGTCGAATTCAGAGACATGGAGAATCAGTGCCAAGAAGCACTGAAGTTCCTCTGGTGCCACGTGGTGGTCCAAAACCTCACAAAGACCCTTCTTTTTTTAATTTGTCACTTGTCTGTGAGTGAGTGAGTGAGTGAGTGAGTGAGTGAGTGAGTGAGTGAGTGAGTGAGTGAGTGAGTTCACCTTTTTTCCCTGGCTTCATCTCCCCATCTTGGTTCATCCAGTACTCTCTGATGTCAATCAGGACTTTCCCCTTGAAGTCTCTGACACTGACATATCTCATCTTTCCAATCTGTAAGAAGCAAAGACACTGTCAACAATTGCTCTTTAAGGCTTCTATAATGTTCATTTAAGGCACACTATTGTTTACATTAAAAGTGACCAACAGTAGTCGAAAACATTGAAAAAGAGGTCATCCTTTGTCGTTGCCACGTAGCTGATCAATCACTGTATGAGGTGGGTCTAAATATCAGACCGTTCAAAATGTTTGGACACACACTCCCCTAACCCGAGGGGTTTCTACAGCCATCAAGGAGGCAGTTCAGCCTGACTGTACTGATGGGGGTGTTTTGTTCTGCACAGGCTGTAACACACCTTGAGGTAAATTTGTAATTTATGAGTTTTACAGTAAAACTCACTTGACTTTTGGGATGAAGACATTTTATAGCCTTTAAAATACCACACAGTGAGTACTCACTAATATCTTATATTGTTAAAATATTCCATTTTGGTGGCATTAGGGATCAACCAATTATCAAGGCCGATTGTTGGGATTTTTTTCAGTTGTCAGTATCTTTATTTACCAATTTTTTGCTACATAAATTAAATGCACTGCTTTGGCTTTGATGCAGCTGTATCTTTCTCTCTGCAGTCACTCCGTTTCCTCAAGCAACGTCCCCCCCACAGCACTGTCTGATTGGCTCTTACATGCCACAAGTAACAGCCAGCCAGGGAAAGAGACTGATTACAGAGCAAGACAGACAAACATATTTGTTGAATGAAGCAGCTCTAGTGAATTAGCAGGGCTGTTTAGGGAAGGTGAGATAGCACATGTTGCTTGAGGTTGTGATGAACACAGCAGTCTTCCACAAGCATGCATGGCCTGACTGTCAAACACACAAGGCCCCACAAATTCACCTGTAGGTGCTCTACACATGTAGGTGTTGATCTGTTCAATCACTACATGGTTTACTGTGCCCCTCAGACTCTGGTGTACCATAACATCTTCCAAAAGACACATTGCCACAAATTAGGACGTTTTTTACTTTCAGAGTGGCTAAGGCTACGCTAAAGGCTAGCAGCTAAGTTAGGAGGCAGCCACAGCTTACTCTGATCTAACTCAATCTAACAGTCAACAGAGGAGTGATGCACAAAAAAACATCACTCCTCTGCCTTATTGCATACAGTCATGGAAAAAAATATTAGACTACCCTAGTTTTCTTCAATTTCATGTTCATTTTAATGTCTGGTATCACAAAAGGTATATCACCTGAAGAATACAATGAACACGACAAAAATGCAGCTGATTGCATAATACTTTATGTCCTATTTGAAATGCTTAAGCTTAATGGTATTCCCAGGGTACGTAAGAGGCCATTTCATGTCATAAGCAGCACAGCACATGCAAAGGCCGAGAGTGGTTTCCTGCTTATATTTAAGCCATAGCACAACTCACAAGTTGTCAGCTCTCACATAATGAGTAAAGCAAAAGAATTATGTGAAGTTGCAAAGGCAGCCATCTTAGCAAATTGGAAATTGGCATGAGTGAGAGACAGACGGCCATTCACTACACCAAGAAAAAACAAGCCCAACATGGTGCCACCAAATTGCTAGCTGGTTGGAGCAGGAAGTGTCTTTCTACCCCACGAGGTGACCGTGCACTCATCAGTTCCTGTGTCAGGAATCGTCATCAGACCTCCAGGGACCTTAAAAATGAATCGCAAGATTCGCTCCACTGTTACCATCCGTGTTTATTTTCGCAAGCACTGAGCACGCTCGTGGTGTGTGATGTCATTGTGTCCTCTTCTGCACATGCGGGACACTTTTGGGTCATATGAAGTTCACACAGGAGATCACATACAAGTCGCATTTAATTGGAAATGTGAACGAACTCGCAAAAAAAGCGGATATCAGTAGAAAAAATCTGAATTGAGCATTAAGTCCTGCAGTGTGAAAGTAGCCAATCTGTCGGATTGCTATGTCAGATAATATGCCGTTATCCTCATTTGTGACATAAAATGTCATGTTGGAGTCGGAATCCAAGGCTGTCAGTATGTTAAGGCTATTTTTTTATGGGTTCCGTTCGTTTTTCCTAAAAACCTGTTGGACAGCAAGGTTTTCGGATTGTTAAGGGTCAGAATGTCAAGTCATGACTGCATATATGTATAAATTCATTAACAGAAATCCCTATTGATTAAGAAGACTAGTTAGAAAGGATAGGTCCCCTGCTATCACATGCTGTTATTAACATTTAATGTATATATCCAAATATCAGTTATTGGGCTTTCTTGATTACCAATAATCAAAATCAAGATCAGCTCTGAAAAAAAAAAACACATTGGTCGATCCCTAGTGTGTACATGAGAATTGATGTAGTAAAGCATTCAAACTGGGAATGCACATTTTAAAGACTGTCCTTAATTAAAAGTCAACCACATATGAATAATTGATTAAATTGTTCTAAATAAATGAAATGTGTTTTCTTAGAAGCATGTAGAGTTTTGCTGGTTCTATATAGTGGCGGCATCAACAGCTTAGCTCCTTGCTGTCTGATGCGCAGTTCCCAGCTAAACAGCTGACAGACAACAACCCAGAAGAACACGTAGCAGAGCCATATTCCTTTTCCTTGGGTGGAAGTGAGGTGGGTTTGTTTTACGTTTTTTGCTGCCCATACAGGCGGTTAGCAAACACACCTGTAACTCATTACATCAGAGAGCATAAGATTTTTAGTGTTGCAATTCAAATACTGCAGCACAGAAGTGAAGTCAACATATCATGGAAATGGCCACTGCCATCTTGGAATGTGATGTCATTTGCAACCAGATTCTGTGCAATAGTAATTTTTACCCATCGACTGGTTGTGCTCATAGACTGGCCAAGCAAGAGGCAGGACCTGGATACCACACTTCCAGTCCCAGTCATTACTGCATTCTGGTTGCAAATCACATCACTGGCATGAAAATAGCAGCGCCTAGTTTTGGATGTTATGGCTTTACTTGTGAGGGGCTGTCATGTCATCCATCTGTAAATAAAGTCTAATGTAACACAACATGTCCTCACCTTCTGCATTATCAGAACATTTTTTATCAAATAAATTATAAATGGCAATTAATGGAATTAAAAATCATCATTCGCATCCCTGATTACCACCAAATTAAAACATTATTAGATATTTTCTTTATCAACATAGTTCAACTTAGTAACTTGGAAACCTTCAACTTTCTTCATATTTGGCACCAACATTTAAAATATATAAAAATGTGTTTTTTATTAGAGTATACCTGTACCACCCACCTGGAACATGTTGTCGTCACCATTACTGGTCCCTTTGGATGAGCCTCCTGGCTTGGAACTCTCTCCACTCTTTGGTTTTTTGGCTGGCTTCTCTGGTGCACTTGGCTTCTTTCTCTTTGCCTGCCAAAAAACAACACAAAACAAAACAAACAAACAAAAAACACTGAAAATTATTGCTACTTGTTATGTCCGTACCAAGGATGGTACAGAATGTTACTTATAGTCCAGTGATAACTTCTATACACACAGTCTAACAATTAAGGATAGTGACGCACTATCAGCTGTTTGTCAGAAAACGCTATGAAGAAAAACAGTAAAAGACAGCACTTGCTCCCGACTATGGCAAAGAGGTTATGAAAGGGTTATGGGAGAGTACTGATAAAGGTTCTGATAAGTATCAGTGATGATAAATAGTAATAGTAGTAATACTGTTCCAGTTTGACTTCCCTCCCTCAGTGTCCACAGGCTTGCATCACAAACTGCAATCTAACTCAAGGCAACAGGCAATGACTGGATGTAATAAAAATGAAAGTGCTTTAACTGGATGGATGAAGTGCACAAATCAGAAGTTATCACTACATCACAAACCTTGGTCTCTACTTCACTGTCGGAGTCACTTCCAGATGTGGAAGACAGAACTTCTTTTGATTTTGGCATTCTGTTGAGACAGGGATCAAAGATCAGATTTCTATTTCAATATCAAACCACCCTCAAGTGTTCATTTAAAAGACTATTTACAGTGACATGTGCAGGGACAGGTTTTGATTTAGATTCACTGCAGAGACAGGACACCTTCTAAAATGATTTCAAGACAAACACAATAATGATGTCACGTTTAACGCGGTGTTTCAATCCATTCAAGGGGCTGAACTTCAGTAGCTAATGATTTGGCACAAACACACAAGAAAGACAGTGAGTTGTATGCTGGTCAGCAGGTCAGCATCGGGTCAGCCCATGCATCCAGCCAGCCCGCTCTGGCACCGAACCGTCCCACGACACACTGAAAGCATCTGCCAGGCTGCAGGCTGTTACTGAGGAAACAGCTTCAGACCGGCGGTAAACGGTGCTAAACTACCTGGTGAGTGTTGCAGTTATACCATTCTCCTTCTGGGAACCAGCACAGATTCTGCCTGTAACCCGACTGTAAACCCAATAGTTGGTTCCGTACGTCGTGCTTCATTTAGTCTGCACGTTTCTAATGCTTCCGGACGGGTGATGCTTAAAAGGCTTCGGTGCTTCGTTGGCAGTGTGTCGAGTCGTTCAAGCGCTGTAAACTGCACATAGCGTACATTTAGTTGACAGTTTCGAGTCCGGAAAAAGTCCCACACTGCAATGACTACGCCAGAATACAGGCGTGGACGTTAGCTAGGAAGCTAAGTGCTATCTGAGCGGGTTAGCCGGGGTGGCTAACGGTAGAGCAGCTGAAGCCGCTGCACATGTACGCGTCTCGCTGATGGCAGGACGGCAGCTGTCTGCAGCCTCCGGTTGTGCTGCCAGAGCTGCGCAGTGAACCGCTTAGAGACTCGTCTGTGAAACCAAACGTCCTCTCAAAGACACGTCTACAGTACTTTCTTTTAAAACTGTTAATGCTTACATGATGTGGTGTAGCACAGCGGGTCTCCGGACTGGAAGCGGAAAGCTGATTGCCTACGAGAATTGCATACCTATCGCGAGAGCACACAGCGCTACAATACGCCCGTTGGAGGTGAAGTCCTTATTGAGTTAAAGGCGGATGTGAAGACAGTTTCCAGTACAGGAACTTACAGAAACAAACGGAGTAATTAAAATATTATGGAGTACATATCCAAAAATATATACAGGGTTCAAGAAATTAATGAAAACAGGTTAGACTATTGTTGTGAAATGAAAAATACTTTATTTGTCCCAGAAGGGAAATTCAATAATAATTATTGTTTATTAATTTCATTTTCATTAATAATTATTATTATATTAATATAATTATCCTGCACGTGGTCGGAAATCTGCGTTCAACCTTAATTTTACATAAATTCTCATGTAGATCAGCAATATATCACAGCTGTATATTGCATATATCAGGCCTGCAGACTTGTCCATATCACACTACACAAATAGACTGAACACTGCAAAACAAAAACCAAACAGATACAATCAAAAGAAAGGGAAATTAATAGCAGTCAAGATTGATCCATCTTATATTTAGACTATCGGGGCTTAATATGCGTACCAAAGTTATTTTAGGAATCCTTACCTACCTGTTATCAGAACTTTTGGACTTGCTAAATATTTTAAAGTAAATCAGTCCCACTTTATTATACAACAGACGAGAACTATATATTGCATGCAGTTTATGATGCATAAACTGAATGCATGCAGCCTCTCTGACTGATGTCTCCATCAACCACACACATAGAATAAACCTTTAAAATCAGACAAATTTAAATCTCTCTAATTCAACCATAATGAAAAGCTGCAACGATTAATCTACCAGAATGTCACTTGCATGAATTGGCACTTCAGGGTTTCAGTGTTTTGTGAAAGGACTACTCCGTTTTCTGATGTTAACCACATCACCCAGTGTAACTATGTAGCTCTTTGATGTGTTTTAATAATAGTGCAGAGAAGCAAGATATACCAGGCTTTAATACACACACAGCACCTGTAACTTGGGTCTTAATGTGGGGTTAGTTGATGACTAAAAGGTACATATAAAATCATTAGACTGGTCATTTCACTGTACATTGGAACATGTCAATGCTCAAAATCAAGGTCATAACCAGTCCTAGCCATCGCGAAGCCTTGAATAAGACTAAGAATACGTGACTATGTTTGGATAGTTTAATAAACAATTTTAACATCCAGTGGTAAAATGGTTTTACACAAACAAGACAACTACATTTGTACAATAATCATCTTTATGTGAACAGGTTGCAGCACTGTGAAGCACTCAAGACATTTGGACTTTCAAACAGGTCACAGGGTGAGAGCTGTCTATTTTGCAGGTCCTTCGAATCCTCTTGCTAGATTGTCTTTGGTTCCTGCAGCGTCCTTTAGTATTTCCATCAACATCGCGTTCCTCTGCCTCGTCTCATCCATCCTCGTGGGGTCTATCTCAGGGAGATTCTGAGAGTTATTCTGAGGACAGAAGAGCAGAAGGCAGACACCTGTGATAAATGACTACAACAAACCATATCAAGAAAATGTTCACTTAATTCAAGGTTCAAGGTCTTTTATTGGTCACGTATACACGGTATAACGTGCAGGGAAATGCGTTGTGTACCTGTTCCACACCGAAACAATAATAATAAGATAAATAAGAATAAGGAATACAATACACAAGAAGTAAAATATATATATATATATATAGAGAGAGAGAGAGAGAGAGAGAGAGCAGAAATAAATAAATCAAATTCCCAAACAGTGCAAAAAGGGAATAAAACAAAAAAGAAAATAACAATAATATTACATACATGTATATATACAAGGTCAAAGTGCAAAGTGACCAGTTTGATTGTCTATTGAGTCTATTGTTTCAGGTTCAGCAGGCGGACAGCCTGAGGCAAGAAACTCCTCCTCATCCTCTCTGTGTTTGCCTTCAGGCAGAAATAACGCCACCCTGACGGCAGTAGAGTAATTTTATTTGGCATAAAATGATCATGGGGCTGCAAGGTGGCTCTGGGGTTAGCACCGTCGCCTTGCAGCTAGAAGATCCCAGTTAGTCCTGGTGAGGACACCTGGGATCTTTCTGTGTGGAGTTTGCATGTTCTCCCCGTGCAGTGAGGGTTCTCTCCGGGTTCTCCAGCTTCCTTCCACAGTCCAAAAACATGTTGAGGTTAATGGTGATTCCAAATTGTCTGTAGGTGTGAATGTGAGTGTGCTTGGTTGTCTGTCTCTAAGTGTAGCCCTGTGATAGACTGGTGACCTGTCCAGGGTGTCCCCAATCTTCACCCTGAGTCAGCTGGGATCGGCTCCAGCCTCCCACGACCCTAATGAGGATTAGGGTGTACAGGTAATGGATGGATGGATGTATAAAATGATCTCTCAAGTAAATTTTGGGCTTTTTTCATAAATATCTTTTTCATTTTACCTTTGAATAAATAAATAAACCTTCAGGTTTTGTTTTTTTTCCCTTTCCAGTAAAGGGGAAGTTTTTTGGTTCTTTCCCACTGTCACCAAGTGTTTGTTCAAATGGAACATAAAGGAAACTTTAGATTTGTTAGGTTCTCTGTTTAAATTGTGCACGGTTTGGTCTTCCTCTGAGACGACATGTTGGCGCTGTAGACATAAAACTGAATTGCACTTGTCTCTCACTGTGTTTACATTAGTTTACTACCTGTATACCTTGATAAATAGGGTAAAGTGCTTCATTCAGAGTAATTTGGTTGATATTCAAAGTTTATCTCCTGGTCTTTATTAAAACTAGCTCCTTACATCGAATGGAATGAAAACCTGTTCTTCCAGCCATAGTACCCGGTCCTGCCGTGACCTCTATAGAACCACATGTAGTTGGCTGTTCACAAGAAGCTGCTGCACATGGAAATGTTCCTTTTGGAGCCGAGAGCTAACACAGCTATGGTGGCATTATTGTAGCAAAAGTATTTGTCAGTGCGTATGGAGAGCTGTCTGTCTGTATCTCAAGCTGTGTGTCCGAAGTGAGATTTGTCAATGTGTAAAAGAAGTTGTCAATGCGAACCGGAATCTACAAAAGCCGTCTCACAATTTGCCTGTCTGTAATCAGGTTTCAAATGTATAAAAAAAATCTGCTCATATGTATTAAAATTCGGGCATGTAATAAGAGTTGTTAATGCGTACAAAGAGTTGTCAGTGCGCACCAAGGTACTCAGTAGTTATGCCGCATGCAAGCCATCAAGTGGCGCTATGCATCAGTCTTGGAGCATACGCGACATTGTGCGGCAGAGTGGAAGACAAAGATGGAGTCCCGACCGCACACACTGAGTACATGTTAATGTTTTTTGCAGTTTGTATAATAAGTGAGGTAATTGCTGAGCCTTCTAAAAAAATATAATATTACATGTATATGTGAACAAGTTACATCTGCTGAGTTTATGGGTCGCTGAGCAAAACCTTTCATGATAGCTTGCACACGGCGTAACTACTGAGGTACAGAGCAGCAGAGCAGCAGCAGCCACGATGAACGATCCTGTGAGCCTGACTCAGGCCACAGAAACACTCAATTTCCGACACTCTTCAGTTTCAGATTCTCTCACGGCAGAAGTGTAGCAAAGGTCATGTGTACAAAGACAGCCAATGGTGAAGCCGTTTGACTCGTAACTGGTGATTTGTCTGTATTTTCAGCACTTATATTTGAATACACAGACTTTTCAACTACAAATACCTTTGTACGCACTGACAACTCTTATTACATGTCCGAATTTTAATAAAAATGGGCAGATTTTTTTTTTACACATTTGAAAACCTGATTACAGGCAGACAAATTATGAGACGACTTTTGTAGATTCCGGTTCGCATTACAGACGGTCTCCATACGCACTGACAAATAGCTTTGATACAATAATGCCCGCACACACAGCTCCCTGACCTCCACCGTGTGAACTCCCTGCTGCTGCTGCTGCTGCTGCTGTAGTTGTTGTTGTTGCCCCGGCATAATGTTGCCCCGGCATAAACGGACGTGTCTCCCGGAAGCCCGTCCGGCTGCTGAGTACCGGGCTGCCGAGCTACTCCGGGACAGCAGCGGCAGCAGCTCCGCCTGAGATGTAAACAGTTGTCAGCGTGAGGTTGCGTTTCCATCAAATCACCTTGGTCGTGTCCCTCTGCCGCCCGTCTCCTGTAGACATGATGGACCACATCCCAAAGCCGGCCCCCACCATAGCGACCATGGCGGTGGAGGTCAGGATAGTCCGCATGGCGCTCATCCTGGGCCTGGGATGCGTCCGTACGAGTGCCTTCAGCTGCTCGACTCAGAAAACACGAATCCAGCCGCTGTGTTGGGTAACGACGGACTCACACCGCAGCACCGCTGCACGCTGGGAGAGCTTCTTCTTCTTCTTCTTCCTGTGCTGGCCAGGCGACGGCACCGTGCAGCCCCCTGCTGTTGGTTGTTGTTATTGTTCCTTATGGACAGGTCAAACCTTTTCTTGACTGCTAAGTGAAGCCTCTGCCTGTGTTTGCTTCCCTCTGACAGACCAGACTGGCCAGGCATTCCTGCTCCACCGTCATAACAAGTACTATCAAGGAAAATATGGATATTTTTAAATTACCCCTCCACCCACCTCAAGCACTTTGTTCACACATTGACATTTCAGGCTATATTTGAACAAACTACTTGAGTTCCAAGACTGAGATTTTTCACAATTATTCCTCATTGGGCCATTAATTTAGAATCTGCAACACTGGACAAGATAAAATCATCTCTGATTATGGGTGAGTTGGGGAAAAATGAAGCCATCATAAAAAAGTCCTGTCTTTGAACTCACATTAACAAAAACTGATAATGCAGAATTCAACTAGTGATGTTTTCTGAACCATATATAGTTGCATGTCTCAATGATATAAATATAGAATACTTTTTAAGATTAAATGCTTGAAAAGGTTGGGTTTTTTTTTTTAGAAACTTTCACAACTGATTGAGTGGTTACGACATGTACCACAAAAGCAAAAAAAAAAAAAAAAAATGATAGAAAGCCTGAACCAAACAGAAAAGCATTCTGGAGTTTCAAAATGGTTCTCAAAATATTATTAAGAATATCCATCCATCCATCATCTATACATCTTAATCGTCACTAAGGTCATGGGGGGCTGGAGCCTATCCCAGCTGACTCAGGGTGAAGGCAGGTTCACCTGGACAGGTAACCAGTCTCTACACAGAGAGAAAACCAAGCACACTCACATTCACACCTACAGACAATTTAGAATCACCAATTAACCTCAACATGTTTTTGGATTGTGTGGGAGGAAGCCGGAGAACCCAGAGAGAACCCATGCTGCACGGGGAGAACATGCAGAAAGATCCCAGGTGTCCTCACGGAACGCAAAGCGACAACCTTCTTGCTGCGAGGCAACGGTGCTAACCACTGAGCCACCTTGCAGCTCTACTAAGAATATAAATTTTTTAATATGGACATATTTTTCATTTTCTGCCCCACTTTGCAGGCATCAACCTTGGTTTGGATGAGACTTGCCATGTAGTTTTGTGTAATTTGCGGGGATTATCGCGACATTAGGTCATCCCAGATAAAACAGAGTCGTGGAGTTTCAAAATTGTTCTCCACATATAACTTGAAAAAATATTTTTTTAATACAGGCATATAACGTCGGTTTAAGTCTCTTCAGCCATCACACATTCAGCTCAGTGCAGTGCTATACTGCTCATCAGTAGGGATGCTGGAAGGTAAACTGTTAGGCAGTGACTGTACATTTACATGCACACACACTTTAACTTTCTGCAGAGTCCAGCCCATGACATTGTTCTTGAAATCCAAGTTTATTTCCAATGAAAGACAAAGTGACAAATCTATTTTGATCCTATCAAACAGTGTGTCAGGCCCTCCACCTCCAGCGCCTGTGGTGGTTCCCATGAGTTAGTCACGGTGATCTTTTCCTGTTCCGCTAGTCGGCCAAGTTCTTCCGGTTGTAGTTCTTTGATCCTGTAAAATCTTTTTTTTTTTTTAATTTCACTGCTAGTCTGCTGTGACACAGTTTCCACAATGGTCATGAGGATAAATGCACCAATGAAGTCTTGCTCACAAGAGTACATCAGCTCACAATTACCATGTCAAGGCCTGAACATTTCCCACTAGAGAGTCCCACTACCCCAACAGATCCACGTATTTGGTCATGCTTGTTGTGTTGTCATCCTAATGATCTCATGCAGTTCCCACAACAACTACACAAAACTACATGACAAGTCTAGCCAAGGCTTTATGCCTACAAAGTGGGATCTAAAAATTAAAAATTGCCTGTTCAAAAAAAAAAAAAAAGAAAAAAAAGTACTGTCTTAATTATGAGAACCATTCTGAAACTTTAGAACTCAGTTCCATTTGGATTAAGCTGGCTTTTTTGTTGTTGTTGTTTTTGTTTTGTTTTGTGTTACAACTTCATCATAGTATCGTCATACCTGCTCATTTATAAAAGTTTAAGAAAAAAAAATATTTTATTTTGTGACCAAGTATTTAATGTACAAAAAGTGCTGTGTTCTTTTGTCTTATCATCCAACCACACATGGTTCAGAAAATGTGAGTTGACTACTGCATTATCATTTTTTTGTTGATGTGAGCTCAAAGATAGGACTTTCTATAATGGCTTCAATTTATTTTTCATATTGTAGCTTACCCATAATAAGAATATTTGATCTACTTGTCCAATATTGCAGATTCTGAATCAATGGTATGATGAGAAGTACCTAATTAGAAATAGTTCCTGAGATATTGTCATTGAAACATAGTCTCAATTTTCAATGAGCTGAAAGTGGATAGACAGGCAGTTAAAAATATATCTCAAAGTATTTGATAAATCAAGCAAAAGAAATTCACGTCTTTATAAATATCCATATTTTATGCCATACAATTTTCAGGTAAATTGGAGATGTTTTAAAAATTGATGATTTGTGGTGGTTACCCAGTTAAGAACTCGTGTTTTTCAGATGCACCTTAACTTTGATTATATCACTCAAGATCTTGCTTTTTCTGATAAAGCAAGAATGGATGGCCATCAGTTGGGATTTGGCCCAGAAGGTTTCAGCTGTTCGTCTCTGATTTTATCACAATAAAGTGGAATTATTGTGGACATTTCATTTTGTTGCCTAATAGATTTGAAATTGTCGAGAAAAGTACATGGAAAAGGTGTGTTGTGATTACAGCACCCAAACAGTCTTTTAAGTGTCTCTGTGATTTTTTTTTGTATTTAATATCGTTGCTGAAATGTGGAAAAATCCTTCCCTAAAACACTTCACACAACTCACAATACAGGGTTCTGCTCTGACTTGAGCTGTGTTGAAAGTGATCCAGAAATGTTACTCGGTCCCACCTAGTGAGATTGTTGCTGCAGCTTTTACAGAAATGTAATGTTGTGCACTAAGACATGAAGCTGACATGCTACATTGCTGTCACATTAAGAATAGAATAGAATGGAGTGCCCGTCTGAAAAGAGACTAAAATGACTACAACCTGAAGAATTTTTAACAGTGTATATAAAACTTTGTGATGGTGGGTTGTGTGATCCTTGACTGTTGGACCTGTTGAATCGCCTTCGCACCCAGATACATCATGTTGAGTGGTGTGAGCTGCAGGTTGTCACTGATATTGACCTAATTCTTTGAGGGTGTAGAACCTAGTTCCTACTTGTGCATCTCGGTTCTCAGTGAAATAAATACCACCTTTTCGCTCTGAAAATATTGATTAAGATTTGGAAATTTTGGCAGAACCAACTCCAGAAAGCGACAAAAAAAACCCCAAAAAACATAAGACCTTGTTGTTAGGTGCATGAAAAACATTCTACGTAGCATTCAGTGTGACGTAACTGGTCAGTGGAAAAAAAGCCAGAGGGCATCCCACCAGGCTGAAACATGTCTGACACACTTTTAAAATATCCATAAATATCTCTGGATAAATCCTTGGCAAGGAAGCTGTTTGTGCACTTCAGTAGTTCACAGGTGTAACAAATGACAAATACAGCACTGCACTGTGATTCTTCGAAAGTGGCTTCTAAGACAACTGGAGACAGAATTATTCTGTCCATCACTGTGTTACAAACATCAGACCCCAACCCAACTATGTTTTTCAAGTGGCAACCCCACATCCATCCAGTTCTCTCATTTATTTTTGTATCTGGTTAACTTTTGGACTCCAATTTACTTATAAATTGCAAGATTTTGAAGGTTTTGGTCCTTACAACAGAAATTTGTCAAGTGCAGTAATTCTTATAATAATACTCAACAGTGGTCCGTGTACCCCCAGGGGTCCGAAGCATGCTGGTCAGATTCATTCATTTAAATTGCCATGATATATATATATATATATATATGTGTGTGTGTGTGTGTGTGTGTGTGTGTGTATATCATGGCAATTATATATACATATATATCTACACTACCGTTCAAAAGTTTGGGGTCACCCAAACAATTTTGTGTTTTCCATGAAAAGTCACACTTATTCACCACCATACGTTGTGAAATGAATAGAAAATAGAGTCAAGACATTGACAAGGTTAGAAATAATGATTTGTATTTGAAATAAAAAAAATTTTTACATCAAACTTTGCTTTCGTCAAAGAATCCTCCATTTGCAGCAATTACAGCATTGCAGACCTTTGGCATTCTAGCTGTTAATTTGTTGAGGTAATCTGGAGAAATTGCACCCCACGCTTCTAGAAGCAGCTCCCACAAGTTGGATTGGTTGGATGGGCACTTCTTGCGTACCATACGGTCAAGCTGCTCCCACAACAGCTCAATGGGGTTCAGATCTGGTGACTGCGCTGGCCACTCCATTACCGATAGAATACCAGTTGCCTGCTTCTGCTCTAAATAGTTCCTTCACAATTTGGAGGTGTGTTTAGGGTCATTGTCCTGTTGTAGGATGAAATTGGCTCCAATCAAGCGCTGTCCACTGGGTATGGCATGGCGTTGCAAAATGGAGTGATAGCCTTCCTTATTCAGAATCCCTTTTACCCTGTACAAATCTCCCACCTTACCAGCACCAAAGCAACCCCAGACCATCACATTACCTCCACCATGCTTCACAGATGGCGTCAGGCATTCTTCCAGCATCTTTTCATTTGTTCTGCGTCTCACAAACGTTCTTCTTTGTGATCCAAACACCTCAAACTTGGATGCATCCGTCCACAACACTTTTTTCCAGTCTTCCTCTGTGATTCCACAAGGGTTTTCTAATCATCAATTAGCCTTCTGAGCCAATGAGCAAACACATTGTACCATTAGAACACTGGAGTGATAGTTGCTGGAAATGGGCCTCTATACACCTATGTACTGTATTGCACCAAAAACCAGACATTTGCAGCTAGAATAGTCATTTACCACATTAGCAATGTATAGAGT